AGGGAGATGGCTCAGTAGAATAAGCGCTTCCCTGGCAAGCCCAAGGGCCTGAGTTCAATCGCCAGTTCTGCAAATAAATAAATAAATACTTGAACAAAGTCATACAGCCAGCTAGGAGTGTAGATTCCAGGTGGGCTTCATGCTCCAGAAACAATGCCAGGCATGAAGATGGGAAGGAATTGCTGGGAAGGTTGGAAGAGGATGTCTCAAGCAGAGGAATCAAGGTTGGCAAGGATCATGAGAGATGTCCAAGTGGTCAGCATGGAAAAAGAATTAAAGAGGAGGGAGACAAGTGATAGACATGAAGGTCCTGTAGAAACAGAAGGGATATGGTTTTACCTCAGGTGCTGTAAAAGGCCTCTGGTGGGCAGGAGTATGGATGACATGGTCAAATGACTTCTTTTAAGGAAAGTGCTCTGATTGGAGAATCAAGTATGCAGCTGGGTAGGGGAATTTAAAAACAAGAACAGGGGTCACTTGGAAGCCGTAATCCAGTCAAGAGGTCATGGTGGTTTGACTTTCAGTGTCAATGCAGGTACAGAGAAGCTTCAGCATACATTTAGGCCTTTGTAAGAGATTTTCTACATTCTAAGCACACTGGGATTCTCATAAAAGGAGAGAAAGAATATACTGTGGAAAGAGACTAGCCTCCCACACTGTATCCTGGGGGGTCCAAGCTTGATCCTGGGAGAAGGGAGGAACTAAATGGAAAGCCTAACACAAAATGAGATCCTGCCTTGCCTTTGGTTTTTGAAGACTGGCTCTTACTGTGTAGCCCAGGCTGGCCTGGAACTTGATATGATCTTCCTGTCTTCCTGCCTCAACCATTCAAAATGCTGGAATCATAAGCATAGCACCACCATGCCCACTCCAGGTTTCCTTTTATGCTCTTACTCAAAGTGCTGCTCTCAGGCTGGATGTGGTGGTACAGACCTATAATCCCAGTCTCTCGAGGTTGAAGCAGGAGGATTACTGTGAGTTCTGGGCCAGGGTGGGCTACAAAGTGAGTCCAAGGC